TAGATTAACCAGTCTGAACCCTGGGGGTCTAGGATAAGCAACTTGAACCCCCCGGTCTAGGTTAAGTTTTCTCTTAATTTTATGATCAAAGTTAAATTGTTATCACGTGATTAAGTTATTTCCTTATTTGATTTTATGACAAGGGAGGGGGGGGGGAGGAAAATTTCAAAAAATCAAATGACATCATTTCTGGTCCTCCCCTTATTATAAATAAAAATAATTGATCTCCTTTTAGTCAAATTTTTTTTTTTAAAAAAAGAATTTTTTTTTTTCAATTTTTTTTTTTGTATAACGAATTATACATTTCCTCTAAATAAAGTCACTTTGAATTAAAATTTTTCTTGATTCTATCGTTATAGCATTAATAATTAACGATAACTAAGTATTGAACAAATACGAAAACTAAATTGTTGTGACCGCGCTTATAGTTTTGATATGCTGCAATTATCGTTACGTAAGCAAAATATGTAAAAATATATCTGTTTCTGCTTGCTATAACTATAATTGTGAAAGGATGTAATGTAGGGAGGACGGTAAACAAATATCTTTATCATGAATTTAGAAATTTTTTCGATCAACAAACAAAATGTAATTTTTGAATGGTTCAGTTAACATTAAATTTTATGTTGTGATATTCTTTGTTTAATTACAGAATAGACCTTTAATAGTTGTTTATCTTGTGCAAAGGACAACTGTTTTTTCGTTTTTTAAGTAATTAAACTAATGGTTCATCGTAAGTTGATAGAGAAAGAGAGCATCGAAAGTCAAGAGAAAAAAAAATTGATAAATGTAATTTTGAAGGAAATGAAAATACTAGAAATTTGTAATCGAATTATTGAGATATTTCAATGGAAAAGGATATTATCGAAATGTGGCACAGAAATCATTTTTTTTTTGTAAAAGTTTGGTTATTATTTTGAAATATACTACAAGGAAACAATACGGTTTTGTTCTTGTAACAAAGTATCTGCGGTTCCATTTAAACGGAAAATGATTTAAATTTTTGTTTTACATCTCATAATTTTAAATTTATTGAGTGAATTAAAGAATAAATAAATTAACGTCAGTAAAATTTCGAATTTTTTTTTTAATCTAATTATTATTAATTTATTATTTGATCCTTTTATATTGAAACACATCATTATTAGAATAAATGTTATCTGGCAGCATTTATTAATGTAATTTAAACTTTAAAACTGTAACGACATATGAGTTCTTTTATTTAATTATTAATGAAGAACTGAAGAGAGAAATTCAATTTCTTGCGGAAGATATCATACATTTTTTAGTGTAAATTCGTGTAACAATGGACGGATATAGCAAACGAGAACCATTTGTATTTTTAAAACTTTAATTCAAGGGTTAGTGCTTATTAAGATTGATTCGTGAAATCACAAATGAACATTTCATGGAAATAATTATTTAGTTGATGATCTAGAGACACGATATCCATTATCCTTGTTATTTTAATATAAGATCAAATATTATTTTTATTACAGTATGTATAGTATTACAATTTAATAAATTTATTGAAATTTTCATATGTTTACGCATCTCTGCATATTGCGTAGATGTATAAAAATAAAACTTTATTAAATTTTGTATAAATTAATTAAATAATTTTACTTATTTAATAAATATAATAGCCTAATTTTCCATCGGTCGTAATCGCTTTTTATTTTAGACTTTTTTTGCGTAATGAATTGTAAAGAAGCTTTTCGGCACGATATCTCATCTTCGAACAAATCTTCCGGTGCACAGATTTATTTAATTCTTTTAAATCAAGATTTGTTCTGATATAGCTTTTTGTGATACTTCATGAAACTTTGATTGAAATTTTGCATTTGAAAAAAAAAAAAAAAAAAAAAAAAAAATAGGAATAGGAGAAATAATCTTTTATTATTTGGTATTTGTTTTTCGCAGTAGTACAATTTTATTATTGGATTCAACGTTGCGCTAGAATTCTTTCCATACGGTAGTTCAAATCATTAAATAATTGAAATAATTGATCGTCTCTCACAAATTTCTTCAGCTTGCTTTTGTTGATTGTTACAAATATCACACACTCTTGGTACATAAGGTTACGAGGTTACGCGTTCTTTTTTTTTTTTTTTTTCTTTAGAAAATAAATGATTAGTTTTGCAGAGCCTCAATCCGAGAATTCGATCAAACTTTTTTAAACTAACTATAAAGGATTTGAAGTTTTACTTGTGTTACGAAATTTAAATCTTATTCGACAATAAGTGCTTTATTTGAAATTAATTTAATTTGTGTTGCATTTTTCGTTCCTTGCTTGGTTCTTTCAAACGCCTTTCCGTTTTTGTTAAACCTGGATTCTGCATTATCTTACCAAAACTTTGTTTTTGGACTATTCCGTTTACGTCATGTTTATTTGAACGCCTTTTATCTTTTTTTTTTTTGCTTAAAAACTAGCACATTATTTTGACATCGTAATAAAATTATTTTGAAATTCCCTTTTATTAACGATATTTGACGGATCATGAGTTTACAAACAATTGATAATAATAACATGGGTCAACTTAAATCCAAAGATAAAAAAGAAAAAACACAACAAGAACTTAATCCAAAGGTCAAAGAAATGTTCCGTGTTGAAGAAGGGAGAAGATTTCATAATGATGAAAACTCGAAATATTTTTTACCAAATGACGATGAAGAACTTGATCGTTTACATTTGCAACATTATATTTGGAGATATATATGGAAAAGCAATTATAATGCTCCCGTGAATGATTTGTTACAAAAAGAGGATTCCAAGGTTCTTGATTTAGGGTAATATATTATTATTTTAACTTGATTTTACTTAAAGTTGCCAAACCTAATTATCCTTACTCCTGCGGCATATGTCAGTTGTGGTGCTGGATCTTGGCTCTTTGAGTTGGCTACGGAATTTCCTTCCGTATCATTTACTGGACTCGATATATCACCCGTAGTACCGTCAACGATAAAACCTCGTAACATTAACTTCGTGGGAGGAAATGTTTTGGAAGGACTTCCTTTCGAAGATAATACGTTTGATTTTGTTCATCAACGACTCTTAGTCGCTGCGATTCCTCTTGATAAATGGCAAAGTGTAGTAAATGAACTTGTGAGAATTTTGAAGCCTGGAGGATATTTGGAGGTATTTTAAAAATGATAGTTATCTTTGTTAAGTGCTCCGAACCTAACACATTCAATTATTTTAGCTTATGGAAATTGATATAGAATTTAAACCAGTTGGTCCAAGCACGAAACGACTACACGATGCTTGTAATTAAAAATTTTTTATTTTTTGAAATTATATCAATTACGTCAATTTAAAAAACAAATCTTTTCATCAACGATAATAATTGTTCTTTAGTAATAAAACTGATCATTCAAAACGGACAAGACCCACATGTCATTACAAAGTTACAATCTTTCATGGAAGCAAACGGACAACTTGAAGGGATTGTAAGCGAGGAAAAATTCGGTTCATTTAGCAAAAGTGCAGGTCAACTTAGCCCACTTGTAAGTACAATTTTATTAGTGTTGGAGGATTACCGATTAATAACTATCATTAATATAATGTTTTGACTATTTAAGGCTGTCGAGAATCACAAGCTTGGGTTTACTGGCGTTAAATCTGTATTAAGTAAGGTTCTGAATATCTCTTCAGAAGAATATGATGAGCTGGTTAAAGAAATGACAATCGAATTGCCCGAATATGAAACTTTTAATCATACAGTTCGCGTTTATGGTCGGAAACAATTTTAAGTTGACTTTTGATTAATTTACTTAAATTAATAGAGAAATTTAATTTTATTCATTTTATACTAGAGAAACTTAATTTTATTCATTTTATACTAGAGAAATTTAATTTTATTCATTTTATACTATACAAAATTTATAATTTATATAAATTAAAATTAATACATATAGACATTTTTAATCAAGCGTGCATGCTTGGTAAAAAAAAAAAAAAAAAAAAAAAAAAAAAAAAAAAAAAAAAAAGTAATTCTTTACGCGCCAACGTGAGAAATCATTTCATCAAATCATAATTTTTTTTTTTGTTTTGGGTGAACATCTAATTTTAATAATACGCCCAACATTTGCACGACGTTTATTTGATCATCGAAACGCATTCAATAAACTCTCTATTTGTCTAGTGTATTTTTCATCTGACATCTTGTAAGATCTTATTCGAAAAAAGTTGGCGGTACTTTTGATTGGTCAAACTTTTAATTTTTTTTTTTTTTAGTTCGAAAACAAACATACCTCGCAATACCAATCACCGGAAATTACCTACCGGAAAAAATAAATGATTTGATTTGGCTGGTCAGAACTTAAATGCAACATAAACAAACAACAAAAATGAATTTTAAAACCTGTTCGTTTCCGGACGGTCGGGTTTTCCGGATGGATTGAATCGATCATTAATATATATTACTATATATAAAACAATCAATTAGTGTATGCATATACACTAAACTACAATAAATTACCGGATTTTATAAATTTTACTTAGTAATATATAGTAAAATTAAAGATTTTTA